CTACTATCTATTGTCAAAATTTCAGATCAAATTGACTTCAGAATAAAAAGTTATGACTACAACACTAGATGGTGTCTAAAATCCCTTGTACCCAAATTCTCTCTAAAGTGTGTTGTAACTCCAAAATACTTTCTCACTTCTAATATACCCCATATTACTTCTCCTAAGATTTCTAGACCTTCCGGATTCAATGAAAATTTTATTTTGACCTAAAAATTTTTTGAACTTACCTAACAACCTCTTCCAAGTTTAAATACTTTCGCAACTTAAACTTCACAATCAATTTGCCTCCCAATAGTTATTTCTACCGTTATAATCTATGTGGTTCATTCTTATGTCATTACATGTATTAGAATTACTAAATAATTATATCATTATATTAATATAAACATGTGGGGGTTTACACCAACAGAGGTTACAAAAGTTACAGTTTAGACTCAGAGTTACACAAAAAAAAATGTATATCCTAAGGTCCAAAAGGTGGAGTAGACTCAATAGATGAAGCCTCAACAATAGGAATAGGAAGAGAGCTTGGAAGCTCGGCATCCAATGCTCCTGAAAGCTTAGTAGGTGAAGTGTCTGACAGACTAACAGCCGGGGTTGCTGGAAGAGAAGGGGTTGGAAGCTCGGTGATCGAAGGCCCAATAATTCCTGAAGCAGGGAGTGAGTTCAAGGCCAGAGCAATAGAAACAAGATCAGCTGAGAAGGGAGCAACCCTTGAGGCTACGGTAGAAGTCGCAAGGAGCTCGAAAGCCATTGGAACAGGGGAAATAACAAGGGTAGAAGCTATGGGCGCCTCAGCACCTTCAGAAGGTAAGGGGAACTAGTTGCTGGCCACAACGCTGTTTTCCTCAACCTCCTCTTCATTAGGGATGTCAAAATCAAAATCTTGACCAGGGTATGTCTTTTCAGCCATGTCTTGGAAAGCAAGCCATCCAGTGACCCACTTAGTACTGACATCATCCCTCAATTTGGCTACGTCATCCTTCAACTCGACTATTAGATCATCTTTTTGATTAATGATAGTTTTCTTCTCCTCAAGCTCCTTGTGTATGATGTCGTTCACCTCGGACAAATTGTCATACTCTCTTGTCATGTTCTTAAAAGAGCGAAGGGCTTCATAGGTCTCCTCACAAGCTTTGACCCCAAGCATTATTCTTAAGCTCAAGCTCATCTCTGATCTTCCTCTCCTCCCTTTCCTTCTCAATTTCTAGACCGTGGATAATAGTAACTTCCTTCTCCACCTGCTCCTGAAGTTCCTGATTCTGAATACGAAGATCTTCATTGGCAAAAGACAATTCAGTGACTTTAAGCTCGTAAGCCTTCGTGACCTTAGCTGAGTCCTCCAGAGATTGGATTCTGCCCATCAAGCCTTTCACATGGAGAGCTAGCTAAGAGCAGGCAGCAAGAAATTAGAGGTCAACATCATTTATGAATGCATATACAAAAAAAGAAAGGGAGAGAAGTGGGAGAGTAGACATTTACAACAGTTGCTGTATGAAGAGTTGAGCTGATAGAAGTCTCAAGGGGCATGATGGAGGCTCTTTTAACATCAGATTCATGAATAATAGAGCTAATGACCCCAAAAACAAGCTCAATATTGTCAAAGAAAGAGCCCTAGTCACTTTCCATTTTAGGGCTTTTCCCCTTCTTAATTCTGGAGCTCTCATGGCTTGACAAGGGAATCCTATCGGGTGATGCCAGAGAACTGGGAGTGGGAAGAACTCGAGTAATCGTCCCCAAGGCCCTATCAACCTCAAAAGAAGTAGGGGGAGGTCTACCCTTGCTCAAGGACCTNTGATGCCAGAGAACTGGGAGTGGGAAGAACTCGAGTAATCGTCCCCAAGGCCCTATCAACCTCAAAAGAAGTAGGGGGAGGTCTACCCTTGCTCAAGGACCTCACTAGGGGCGAACGGAGATCTCCTAAGGGAAGAACCCTCTGTAGATTGTGGAGTGGATGAAGGCTGGATGATCAAGGGTGGAGTTGGAATGGTAGAGCTGGGGGTCACACTCTTTTTTGGCACTTTGGCTGGAGGAGTAGTTTCGCTACCAGAACCAACCTCAGCCTTGTGTTTACCACCGCTCCTGGCCTTCTTTAATTGATAAAGCTTAGCTTGGAGCTCTGCTGTGGAAGGCTTCATCATGGAAGGACCTAAAAACCAAGGACAGGTAAAAATATAAATAAACAAGGTACAAGAAGAAAGGGGAAGATCAGAGTTGGATAGGTCAGGGTATTACCAGCGGCCTCCTCTGCACTGACAACAGAAAGGGGAATCGGGGCTTCAATCGTAGTCTTTGGGAGACTGAATCCTTGCACTACGAGAATCCAATGTTTGATGAGCTCAGAGTACCTCTCTGATTCACAACCTTTTAGGGACAACAAGACCTGCTCGTCATCAGCACTGAGTTCAGGGCGAACACCTAAAAAAAAAAAAAGAATATAAGAAACAAAAAGAGATCAGCAAAGAAAAGCTACTGAAGCCGACCCTAGCTCACATATATTTGCACTTACCCAAGTTGTCAGGGGCTTTCTAAGCCCGAGGGACTAGAAGAGAATCTGAATTGTCCATAGGGTTGTATTCCCATTGATCACCCCCACGAAGAAGAAATTTTTCTCAAGCCTTTTTGAGAGCTTGGGAGGTCGGTGATGATTACTTTAGCTTTAACCCGTTTAGAGATATACAAGAAACCATAGGAAGAGGTATACGTAACATTAAAACACTCCATAACCAGGGAGACAGTGGGAACCCCAAGTTTATGCTTCTTAAAGAAAACAAGAAGACCCACCAGAATACTCCAGAAGTTAGGGGAGAACTGAGCAGGGAAGACGTTAAAATGCTGCAAAACGCTCTTGATAAATGGGTGCATAGGAAAGCGAAGACCATTCTCAAAGGCGGCCTTGAAAAAATAAACTTTTTTGTGGACTTGGGCAATGAATGAGGTAAATTTATCTGGACACCAGTATTGGACACCAGAAGGAAAGCTAAAACGAGCGCTAAGAACTTTCATAAGAGGAGGAGAGACCTCACTGAAGCTCACATGTTCTGCAGTTCTGAAAGTAGCACCTGCACCCTCAGCGTTGTCGGAGATACCAACTCTGCTAACTTTGGCCTTACCCTTGTTAGGATTTTTGGGAATGGGGGGTGGTAGATGAGGGAATTTCCTCAGCATTTCCCTCGGTATCAGCAGAATCAATACCGAGAAATTTATCAATCTCCTCACCCACATCACTTAAATCAGAATCTTCCTCAGCAGACCTGGTCCCTAGAAGGGAAACAGAACAGGGGGTAGCTCCAGAAGAAGCAGACATAGTTAGGGAAGAAAAAGGGAGTCTGAAAGTACGATAACGAGAAGGAATATTTACAGAACACTCTCTAAAAGTCAGGGGGTAACACAACAACTACCAATAAGAAAAACCCTAGCAGTTGAATAAGGGTCTAAAAAGAGAGGAATACGAGACATAGATCAACCTTGGTTCCAAAAGTAGCAGAATCAAAAAGTCCAAAAATACAGAAACCACCTCAGGCTTGAGGGATCCAGAACAAGGAGATGAACATAGAGTAAGAAGTGTACCTAAGTGAGGATCGACAGAAGACCAAGGCTTGAAATAAAAGCGAGGAGTGAACTTCGTTTAAAACCAGAGATTGAATCAGGGAAAATCGATTTCTCAACAAAACCCTAGGGACACCAGCAAAATTAAAAAATCTAAAATTGTAGGAAGAAGAGAGGGAAAAGCCTGGAGAGGGAGTTTAAAAGGCAAAATGAGCCATTTCCCTCAACTCAGGGGCATTTAAAGCTATTGTTAGAAAGTGGAGAACATGCACAAGAAACAATAAAAAAAATGATTACTGGTAATTGTCACAAACTTGTTTGCGCACAAACTGAGGTCAGCACGTGGAGGTCTACCCCCTAGTTAAGTGTTAGTTCATCCCTTACCCAAGTCAGCTTGGTCAAGAGATGAGAGACAACTGATGGTACATAGAGTAACTTCCAAAATGTGAGATGAGGCACGGAGGTCGAATAAGGAGGTCAGACAAGACATGCAGAGCTCAAAGGACCAAAGCTAGAGCTATTCCCAAACAAGACAGTAACGGAGGTGACGAGAGAACAACTGGGCGTTAAGAGGACCCCTAAAGATGGCAAAGAATCATATTCAGGGCGCAATACCCTCAACCACCCAAGATCTCTTTCTAAAATCAAGGAAAGTCCCGCAATTGAAGAACAAAGATCTCACTTCAGATCCCTTAGAGATACTAATTGTGCTATAAATACTGTACAGTGCCTCATTGATGGGGAGAGAGAAAAAAAAAACCTTAGTGGTGTAAGAGGCACACTGTAAACTCCATTCCTCATTATTAAAACAAAAAGAGCAAGAGCCTCTATTAAAAAGTGGATTAATCGAACTTTCAAGCTGATGAACCACTATATATTCACGGTGAGAATTATCCCAATCTCCAAAATTTCTTTATCACAATCTCCTCAAGCCCCGAAGCACTGACCCAAGTTGCCAACCATAAATTCATCCCTTCTACTCATTCAAGTTAATTTACACCATCAAATGCAATTAATCGAGATAAGTTGATAATTTTTATCGATAATTTGAATTTGAATTCAAATTTGTTGTCGTATTTTTAAAATTTTGATATATCTATATCTAATCCAAAAAAATATATGTTTTTATATAAATATTAAAAAATTGAGTAATAATTTGAAAACATTTGGTTAAAATTCAAATGTAACTTATTAAATTTAAGTTAAATAAAATTATTCAAATCAGATTGAATTTTAAATTATTAATAAATTTAAATATGAATCATAAAAATAAAATTTATCGGATAAGTCATCCTGGTATGCACACGTCTATGATGTAACGCCGCCACCACCACCACCACCACACCGTACACGTTACGAAGAGTAACGACCACCACACCGTACACGTTTCGAAGAGTAATTGTTCATTATCATCCATTCGTTTCCGGAGAGACCGAGAGGGAGGGGATATGGAGAAAGATACCTGCTTCATCATTGTCGTCTTACTCTGCATCTCTGCACTCTTCAAGCCCCTTTTCAATCTTATTTTCGTCTCTTCTTCCTCTTCTATTAACTACTTCAAGGAGCGGAAGAAGAAGAAGCTCCCTCCAGGACCCCCTAGCATTCCGGTGATAGGAAACCTCCTATGGCTGCTGAAGTCATTCTCCGAGATCGAACCAATACTCCGGGACCTCAGGGTCAAGTACGGCCCTCTCATCACCCTGGAGATTGGGTCTCGGCCGGCCATATTCGTGGCTAGCCACTCAATCGCTCATCAAGCCCTCATCCAGAATGGCGCCGTTTTCTCTGACCGCCCAAGGGCCCTGNAGATCGAACCAATACTCCGGGACCTCAGGGTCAAGTACGGCCCTCTCATCACCCTGGAGATTGGGTCTCGGCCGGCCATATTCGTGGCTAGCCACTCAATCGCTCATCAAGCCCTCATCCAGAATGGCGCCGTTTTCTCTGACCGCCCAAGGGCCCTGGCCACCAGCAAAATCATGAGCAGCAACCAGCACAACATCAGCTCAGCCGCCTACGGCTCCACCTGGCGCCTCCTCCGTCGCAACCTCACCTTTNTGGCCACCAGCAAAATCATGAGCAGCAACCAGCACAACATCAGCTCAGCCGCCTACTGCTCCACCTGGCGCCTCCTCCGTCGTAACCTCACCTCTNGGCCACCAGCAAAATCATGAGCAGCAACCAGCACAACATCAGCTCAGCCGCCTACGGCTCCACCTGGCGCCTCCTCCGTCGCAACCTCACCTTTGAGATCCTCCACCCCTCCCGGGTCAAGTCCTACTCTCCCGCCCGTCGTTGGGTCCTTGGAATCCTAATTAATGGCCTCCTCAAATCTGCCCAATCGGAATCGGTGGTGAGGGTGGTTGACCATTTCCAGTACGCCATGTTCTGCCTGTTGGTCCTCATGTGCTTCGGTGACAAGCTCGATGAAAATCAAATCAAACGTGTTGAGACCGTACAACGCCGTTTGCTTTTGAGTTTCAACCGATTTAACATTCTCAACTTCTGGCCGAAACTGGGAAAGATTTTGTTTCGCAAACGATGGAAAGAGCTCTTGCAGCTGCGCCAGAACCAGGAGGACATATTGATCCCTCTTATCAAATCTCGAATAAGAGCAAAACAAGAGCAACATAGCGAAGAGAATGAGGGAAGAAAGGCTGATGGTGATGAGCAAGTGGAGGGCATGGTGGCGTACGTGGACACTCTGGTAAATCTGCAGCTGCCGGAAGAGAAGAGGAAGCTCAACGACGGGGAGATGGTGAGCCTGTGCAGTGAGTTTCTAAGTGCCGGCACTGACACCACGTCAACTGCTTTGCAGTGGATCATGGCCAATTTGGTGAAATACCCTCACGTTCAGGCCAAGCTCTACGGAGAGATCTCCAGCGTTGTGGGATCACCGCCAGCCCCACCATCCTCCAAAAAAGGGGAGGGAAAGGGAGAAGAGACGATGAGAACCGTGGAGGAGGAGGATCTGCAGAGGATGCCATACCTGAAAGCGGTGGTGTTGGAAGGTCTGAGGCGTCACCCACCGGGGCACTTCGTGCTTCCTCACTGTGTGACGGAGGAGGTCGAATTAGAGGGTTATGTGGTGCCAAAGAATGCCACAGTGAATTTCATGGTGGCCGAAATGGGTTGGGACTCAGAGGTGTGGGATGATCCCATGGGGTTCAAACCCGAGAGGTTCTTGACTGCTGCTGCCACTGCTATTGTCACTGATGAAATTCATGGCAAAAGCAGCAAGGACGGAGGAGGCGGGGAAGCAACAGCAACTTTAGATATAACGGGCAGCAGAGCCAGAGAGATCAAAATGATGCCATTTGGTGCGGGAAGGAGGATATGTCCTGCCTCTGGTTTGGCTTTGCTTCACTTGGAATATTTCGTGGCCAATTTGATTTGGTACTTTAAATGGGCGGCTGCTGGGGGAGAGGATGGCGACGACGTTGATCTATCAGAGAAGCAAGAGTTCACTGTCGTCATGAAACATCCACTTCAGGCTCGGATTACACCCAGAGACGAATGCTACGCCTAATACTTATATGAACACATAATACTTCATATATGTGTTCTTAAATATTGATCTACTCGTGTCCTATCCTATGTGTGATTATGATCTGTTGTTGTAATGTAACTTTAATTTTGGATTTTAACATGTATGGTGGTTTATATTATACAATACAAAAGTTAGGCCTACTTAATCTTTGCTTGCTCAGTTGCCATTATGCTTTAATTCTGGAATTGGTTGGTAGTTGGATTGGAAAGGTTTTTGCCATCCCGCCTTCTTTTTTCAACAGCTGCCCCCAACTGATCCTAGATTAAGGGTGTCAATTAATCGAGTCTGGTTTGGTCCCATTTGGGACATCTGACATCATAAAGAGTCTAATTATAAATGTAAACAATCATTTATTGCAATTTGAATTGATCCTACTTTTGACCTCAAGTAATAATGGCGTGACCTCAAGTTGGTGTGCCTGTGGCTAACAATGAGAAGGCTAACATTCAGTAGATTGTAGGATGCATCAATACTCAATAAGTCCTTCAGAAGAGATCTGAGAACATATAGCTGGCGAAAGAAGCCGACAAGAAGATGCCTGCATCCCAACAGGACATTAAGGTTTCAACTATTATCCCCGAAAATTCTAACATAGCTGTGATGAATCTTGGTATAATTATTACGTATAACAAGTATGAGTGCCTTATTGGGGATGGTGGTAATCTGGTGGTGGATATCA